TCTCTTTCTCTCTCTCTCTCTCTCATTATTGATTGATTTATGAAATGATTAAATAAGATATTATTTTATAAAAATATGATTGATTGACAGCTTATTAACAGGTAATACACTGGCAAACACGGGGTGGCAATGCCCTGTTAATAGCCGACAAATCCCCTGCCTGTGCCATATAGCCAGACCACCCATAGCGAGACTACCGCCAAAACCCACACACACTTGTAGTTTATGTTTTTAAAGCACTTTTACCATCATAGATTTTACAGATTACATCTCTATTGTGTATTTAATGCTAAAATAAAGGTCACTAAACAACACGCAATACAAGAGTTTACACAATAAGTGTGGTTCACAATCAGAGAGTGGGAAAAGTGTGAGTATTATTAAGACTTACTCCAAACGGCCACTACTTTGCCATTTCTAGTGATATTGAATTGAATGACAAATCGCATGGCTTTGACGAGATCGGGCTCTTCGGACAGTCGGGTCCGGATTGTATTGAACACAATGTCACTCTTGAGGCCGTCCACTGGTATACTGGCCAACAGTGCCTCCTCTCGTTGTCCACCGCCGGCCGAACCACTGTTGCCATCACTACCGGCCCCCAGAGCTAGGCGTTCATTGAGATGCCTGAGCGAGCCGTGTAGGGCCTCCTCGGCCCAGAATTGCTGGAACTTATGGGCGGCCATCAAATTACCCTGGATCTTCATTTTCTGACCCATAAATGCCTAAAAACAATATGTTTTATTCAATTTTTAATAAAATATTATTCGTTATACAACAACACGCTTATAGATATGAAAATAAAAGTGCTTGTAATCTAATACCTAGACGTTAGACATGTAAAACTTGTTTTTATTATATTTTAATTAAAAATCAAGGTAAAATGTCTGTTAATTAACTGTTTTAGGAGAGAGAGAGAGAGAGCCTATTGTTTTATAAAGAGCCTTTAGATACATTTGAATATTGTAAACAGAATTAACTGAACTTGTTGTTTATTTGTGTGGCCCCTAAACAGCTACGGATACAAAGGTGGACGGGGGAGAGGTGTACAGGAGTGCCCCCAAAGTCAAACCCGACGCCATCGTCAATGTGGACGACGAGAATTACGTGCGCATACTATTTGGTCAACTCAACCCTCAACGGGTCAGTACCTACCAGTTTCACAATGACCATGATCCTTTACAATTATTTTCAATTAATATATAATACATAATTTGCATGACATGTCTGTGTGGACGACTACCAGGCCTTTATGACGGGTAAGATTAGCGTTAAGGGCAATATATTGTTGCTGCAAAAGTTGGACTCCTTCTGGAACCAAGTTCAGGGACAACGAAAGGACCCGGAGATGCCTCAAGTCAAAGACATTATGCTCAAAGATGTCAGTATATCTATCTAGTGTTTATAGTCTTGATTATATACTTTACTATATTGTTTAGTTACTCTGTATTAAATGTTGTTTTACATATTGTTTTGCAGCCAATGAAACCCGGCCTCAAGAGCGAAGTGATTATCTTCGATCTGATCCAGAAGTTGGTCCGTTTGCCGAATCTGTTGTCTGAAGGCTCGACAGTGCGGTTCGACATCAAAAAGGACGGACAGTTGGCCTCCAAATGGAGTCAGTATTTGATATACACTTGAAAACAATTGCGGTGTTTGTTTGGCACCACTAGATATTAGTGGTTAGACTATTAATATTAAATGCAATTCATGTGTTTGTTAAAGAGCTGTCGTTCCCGTCGGGCGCCAACGGCTTGGGAAGGATAGAGAGGGCCGACAACACCAGTGGTGCCGATGACAACACTCTGACCGTCGATGACAACGACTTTGTGCGCTTGACTTATAGCACACTCAAACTGGAAGATGTAATTATGACTTTTAATAATTATAACTTTATATATCAATAACAGTAATCTAGTACATTTGTACATGTAGCTATTAAATTTACATATAAGTTTTACTAATAATTAGAAATCATAATACCATATTCATAATTCTAACTGCACTACTAGTACATTAGGACCCTTGGTTATTAAGTGAGCTAATAGTTTTTAATCGTTTGCATGTTTAATGTGTTTAAGATTTGAATTTTAAATTAACTCTATATTGACGTAGAGTTAGGCAAAGAAAGTAATGGTTTTTACACGAGAAACACATTTTTAAAATACCAAATAATTAGTTATTTTGATTTTAGGTCATTATTTCCTCCTTATATAAATTTTACAGTGATTTTAAATGTAAAATTAAATTAAATAACGATTATATTTATATATAAATATTAATTTAATATATAATTAGGCGATAGCGTCCGGTCGTGTCAAATACAGTGGCGATCCCTCATCGGTGGCCAAACTGAGCAAAATGTTCAACACATCCATAATTAAAGCCAAATTATAGACTCAATTATTATAATTACTAAAGCGATTTACCAAAACTGATCCTGATCAATTCAATAAGTCATTTCAATAATTTTGTTTTAGTTGTTGTAATTATTTCTTGTTTTAATTATATTATTTTGTTTTACTCAGAACTCAACAAAAAAAACTATTGTTTTACAAATTATACGATAAATCAAATAGTCTTAAATTAATAGTGTTTTTATTGTTTTATAATTAATAACATTGTTAATTGTTATAAAGTAACAATTTTTCGATATTTATATCTATTTTATAATTAATAATTTTATTAATAATAAAAGAAATAAATTTGTAATGGATTTAAAAAAAACAAATGACAAATTACTTGTTTTCAAAACTTAACTCGTGTTTTAAAGTTTGCTTTTGAGCTGATTTTTGAAGCAAAGTTCGCAAAACTGGTGACTTTCACGGGACGGATGATCGCATACGTGGACACCATTATCACCGGTTGTCATCTCGGGTGTGGTTACCATCAGATCAGACACCAGTATGTGATGGCCCTCATCGACCACCTGCTGATCTAAGCCATGTTTACGTACAACAAATGTTACGCAATCGCCAGCATTTAGATGAATACTTTTAGTCCTAATTATATCACAAAAAAGTAATCTTGGTAATTTATTTAACCTTAATTAAGTTCAATACTTGTTGACGGGTTTATTGCGGCGAAAGACCAGTGCTTTAACCGCTCGTACGGCGCGATCCGATACCGTCTTTTTGATGTTAGTCTTCACTAAATCTAAACTAAATTTCACACAATTTGACAACAATTGATCGGTGTTTATATTAAAATACATGGTCAATGTTTTTCACTATTGTTTAGCATGTAATCCAAGACATCCTCGATTGCGATCATAATGAAAGTTATCATATATTATATCATAAATATTATTCAAATTTAATGACTTAATGTTGGATTTTCCGGACGTCTAATTCACCACATTTTTATGACTACTATTTTTACACAATATTTAAATTTTACATTTTTAATACTATAAATACTTGTAAACACAAATTTCCGCACAATTTGCCAAACATTGAAAACATAACGACTCCAACAGTAAGAGCACAGTTAGCATCGATTTGAATGCGAGTGTTTATCACAATTTTATTACCAATAAGACATTTAATATACAAAAATAATTTCTATAACGGGAAATAAATTAATTGAGAAAAATAATTATAATTCATTTGAGGGGTAGAGAGGCTGAAGTTTGGTGCACTTTAGCCATATGTCTCTCGAGAGCCTCTTTATAAGTGCACCCGAAGTCACATCCGGGCCAATGGCACCTGTAGTCAATCTTACCCTGATGTTGGCGCCGCTCATGACTGCCCAACGTATTAATGTTAAGGAAAGTACTGTCACATCCGGGCCAATGACAGCGGTACACCTTTTCCATGGTATGAGTGTTGAGGTGCGCCTTACAGGCGTGGTCAGTGAGGAACGTGCGCTCACAACCGGGCCATTCGCACCGCAACCGCAGCGTCTGGTCGTGTTTGCGGACGTGATCTCTGAGTGACTGTCGGCGCCCAAAGCCCACACCACACGTCTCGCACCGGAATTTCTGCATATGGACGAGTCGGTGCGCTTCCAACGCCGACCGCAGTTTGGCCTGATATGGACAGTCGGCGCACTGAATCCACGGCACCTCTGGCGCCGACTCCGGGTGTCGAGTGAGCCGATGATCGTTCATGTGTTTGGCAGTGCGAAACGGGCGCCGACACGTGTCTATCGGGCACAGCACTGATCGCACGGCTGTGTGTATCGATTGGTGTTTGCGAAACGAGTTGCCGGAGCCCGTAGTGTATGTGCAGCTCTCGTAATCGCACTTANAATAACAATTAACACATGCGAAAGCAAATACACCAGAGAGAGAGAGAGAGAGAGAGCCAAGGAAATGACGATGTTATTAAATAAGAGATGGTATAATTAATCAAAATATAAATGGATATTTTTTGACAATTAATTGTCGTGAATTTTTACCTCAATTAAAAATGTTATTTATATTTTTAACTACTGTATATTACAATTGAATGCCATTACAACATAGAGTTGTATTTATGTTTAATATTTGTAAATTAATCGTTCGTTTCTAACAGTAATGTAAATAACGATAGACTTCATTATCAGCTTTTGATAACTCAAATTATAAAGTTTATATTAAAACTAAATGGTGTAAACGGTCTGTACCTTAACAACATGGTAAGTGTTGATATGGAAGGAGCTATTAAACCACTATATTTATCTCATTAGTGTACTATTGGTGTGAATGATAGCACAAACACATATACACTTCATAAGTACACTAACAAAATACACCCAAACACAATCATCCAGTACTGTGTTGAGAGGTGTAGTGAATTGATCTATCCATAGATAGTTGATAGTTCCATAGACATCAAAACAATCTATCACACTTTGTTCAGAATTTTACGTTATTAATATCGTGTTTTGTGAATTTAATATTTTTTAATTCATTGTATAATTCAGTTATACATATTCAATAGTATATTGTAAAGTGTAAATAGTAAAGTGATCGTGTGTTAAGTTAATGGCACCCAATAATAATGATGGTAATACTCACAGCACCGGCAGTCGTGAAGGTTAGTGTGAATTAATATTCTTTGTTAAATGTTTTATTTAATATGAATTTTACTATTTTTGATAATTTTCTGGGAATATAAGTATTTAATTTGATTTAAAAATTGAATGCCGTTTAAAAGTGTGTGTTTTAATGTAGATTTAATATAAACGCACAGACTTTACGTCTGTTTATGTATTAATTAGATTTTATTATACATTAATTAATGTTGAATAATATTCAGTAAATGATATTTTATTGGGAAAAATTATTTTTGCAATATTTTTCAGATATTTTTTCCGTGATTTTAGAATTTATTAAAAGTGATTGTAAGAGAGAGAGAGAGAGAGAGAGAGAGAGTTGCGAGATACAGTTTATTAACAGCTTGATTGACTTTTAACAACAAATAATTAACCAATAAATAATTTATTGTAAAGTTTATATT